CAGCCTCGTCTCTCGCTCGAACGCTTCACCCACCTTTAACAAACTCACAGTGGTTTCGGACGCTCCGATGACGGTATCATGAAGAACAGGTTAACTTGATTCCACGTCTTATTAGGACACGTCAAAACGTCTTAGTGAGCCTGAAACCCTGACAATCGAGAATTCCGACAGATAACACTCCTTGTGATAATACCTCCGAAAGCCTAGCCTGTTTTGGAATTTCAGGTGCCCCATTCGAAAGCAAATCAGCGTGATTTTCTGCCACATAGACTCATTAATCGTGCGAAGACGCACCGGATTCACTCTTCCGTAAACTCACGATTCCCACTAGTTCGTGATAAGAAATCCCTATGAGGCAGTTCGCTGTGCTTCTTTTTCACCTGGCTGCTTCTTACGTCACTCAACGTTTTGAATCAGCTCTGTGGTGACGTAACACGACTGAAGTTTCCCACATGATTTCGGTGGTACGCTTGCGGCGTTGTTATTCACAGAAGACAAGTGTAATCAATATCACCTTCCTCGTATTCTGTTGGCTTCTTACGTCACTCAACGTTTTGAATCACGTTTGTGGTGACGTAACACGGCCAAATTTTCCTACATTATTTCGGTGGTACGCTTGCGGCGTTTTTATTCACAGAAAACAAGTGTAATCAATATCATCTTCCTCGTATTCTGTCAATACATAGAATCCGAGCACTCGATGACTTGATTGGCAGCTCCACTTCTTTTCTGTCCTCGGAATCACGCGAACGCTGACAAGTTCGAATAGTTGGGGAATTCGAAATGCAATCTGGAACCCCGTTTCACCAAGTCTTTGAAAAAGTCAATCAACCTACTTGAAGCAAGTGGCTGCGTCGACGAAAGAAGTTTGTCTTATTCTTCCATATCCATCTGGTTCGCTCAAGACGCGAGGTTTTGCGGTCACGGGATTCGAACCTGACCATTCGAATCAATCGATTTTCGGAAACCGATAAAACGCTGCACGGGGATGGACCCATTCTACGATAGTAAAGATTGGTGAACATCTCCGAAGGGGTTGACTAAGGGATCACCTGCAACGTAGACAATCTGAAAGGCGTTGTGTCAAGAACCAGCTGGTTGACAAAGTGACCTTCTTCCAGGGCTCTGTGCATTGAATCACAATAATTCGTATTAATCATTAGGCTGTTCTTGCAATGTCAGCGTTCTGATGACACCGAAGAAAGTAAGCAAATTCAGAACCTTTCAAGATGAAGTTTTGTTCATACTGCATTATGAGGATGTCTGAAAATCCAGGGATCAAAGTAGTGTCGTGTGTTGACAAGCTTGAACTAACCGTGAATTGTGTTTTAACTGGCTGAGATTCATATGAGTACCGACATCCGTAATCATCTTACAAGGCATCACCGGCTTCCTGTTTGCTCGTTTAAGTCCCCTTTAGTTTCAGACGAATGCCGGAAGATCGACCAGAACCAGCGACATGAACTCACATTTGCATGCGAATCTGGTTATTCAAGAGACGCACCTGGAACCCAGCCGAATCTCCCGTTTATGGTGTTTCTCAGCAACTGAATGTACTGCACGAAGTAGCCTCGTGTTTCAGTTGGTAAGATAGTCAAGATATCGCGATACATGTGTAGCAGTAATACACTACTCATGCTGAAAATTCTTGGACAGCCTATGAGCGGTTTCACTCTTCTTGGTACTCATCATGTAGGCACACTCCCCAAGCTTCTGTCAACCCAAAATGCACGAATTAAACGAAATACACTCATTTGCAAACAAATCTAATTTCGCGAGAGACCAACCTGGTATCCAGCTGAATCTCCCGTTTATGCTGTTTCTAAGGGTGAAACCGATCATGGGCTGTCAAAGATATCGTGGAGAATAGGGAACAGGGTAGAAGTAACAATGCAACCCGCTCAGCTTTTGTCCTTTCAGACAGCTCAGTTTCTCGAGCGAATTTCCACACTAGTAAATTAAATTTCTCAAATCCTCCCCCTTCATTGTGCCATTTGGATTTTTTGGCAAAAGAAAATACGCGCAACTGACAAATCAAATACGCTTGTTGCCCAGGAATGGTGTTTCTAGATTTCCACATTGTGTGTGTACACTCCATTTCCAAATGGTCTTGCAGGCAGGCATCCTCGAAGAAATTTCCGGCGGAGACGTGCGTATTCGGCCAGACACGCCGTAAATCATATCTGTCGGAAGCAAGACCCACAATGGCGACGATGAAACAAACTTGCTCTGCGAAACGATTAGGAAGCCACCCACCAATCCACAAATAGCTGAGCTCTCTTTCGTTCATTCTGCTTGCAACAGAGTAAGACGCAACTTGATCTCGTGTCTGGAATATTTTCCTGCTAAATGTGGTTCACAAAGGCTACAGAGTGTTTCACGGAGAAATTCGGGGGCTAGGCTAACTTGACGGGTTTTAAAATGGTGGGGCGATCAGCAAGCGATCTGCGAGTAGTGTATTATCCATGAAGATACATCGATAATCACGTAGAGGTTTGATGACACAGCAGTGGGAACACCAGAGATTGTAAATAACCAGGTGGATAATAGTCAGCCAACCAGTTGAAACTAATGGAATACTATCTCCTGAAGAGCATCCTAGGAGGCAGTAGTATCGTTGCGTGAATCGGGATAAATCTACACGCATCTGAGAACTAGTTTTGTGATTTCGTTTTAATTCTTGTTTCTGTGTTCAGAATCTACTTCAAGATGGATTCGGAGAAAACGCAGTATCGGTTGGGGAGACATCGAGAGCTTCAGTACTACTCGATGAAAAGTCCGAGTAGTCGAACCCTTGCTTCGTCGTCCTTGGGGTTCATCAGGCGCACCCAAATTCATCCGCCTTCATTTTTCTAAAGGATGCCATATTCTACACTGGTTGTATTAGCTTCTCATTGGCAGAGTGAGTTGGTGTTGTTGGGGGTGACACACCTGAAGTTCTCGTTCACAATTGTCGCTCGACCAGCTGTGTTTGGGTCACATCAACCTTGAGTGCTAGTGCGAATAGCCACCAAAATTAAATCATTTCCCCTTGTGCTCTCTTCCTACATCCCATGACATTGGGTTTTACAGATTTTATAACCATTGTCGATTTATGCTTGTGCATTTTCACTGATATTTTCCAGACAATCACTTTTATTTTTCTTTGATCTTAAGAAATGGGGAATGCCTTATCACATGGACATATAGAGTGCTAAACTTTGGCGCGCGAACTGAGCTTCTTTGGGGGAATGGCATAGAAAAAACCCACCAAGATTCCATTTGAAAAGCAAGTTACTGCCAGTTATCTGTTGTTCTCTTCCCGTTGGACACGTTTGACATGCAAAAGCTTCTTTGCCATCTGAGTAGACGAGGTAAATGTTTGGCTCTCCACAGCTTGCTTTTACTTAGTTTGGCTGAGTGTTTTATATCTCGAACGTGACTGGCTGACACTGGTTTTGCTTTACAGGTTGCTTACTAGTTCGTTTCGTTGCTGCTGATTTCCTTGCATTTAATTGGTTCGTTCGGTTGCGTCGTTTCCACTTGGTTTCATTGTCTGTTCTGTTCGACATCTCTGTGCTGTATGTGATAGCAACCGTTCAGTCAGCTTTATTATCCTGTCTTCGTAGGCTGTGCTTTCTCATTGGTCCATTTAGTATATCGAGTGCGTTGTGATAATCCATGGCAGGTTACGACTGGTCCTCAGATGCTATCAATGGGATTCACCTAATGGTTTTGATTTTTCCCACTGTTCCATCGACCTCATGCTCTAATTGTTTTGTGGTTTTATGTGGGTGGTTTGTGAACTGTGTTATTTGAAATGAATCAATGTTCTACTCCATCATTGTGCAATGAAAAAAGCAATAACTAATTGCACATTTTACTTCCGGGTTTCAACACTAGGTCGCAAGGGAACTCGGACGAAGTTGCCCTTTGTGAACTGCATGCATTGAACGGCTGTGTCAGGTTTCTCAAGCAAATCTTGCTACCTCTGTGTCACAGTGGTAGTTTTAAATCACCAGCATTAAGGCAGTGGATCAGGTATATGCTTCCACCAATCCCTTCTTGGTTTGCTTCTTATCTGAACATTTAAAAGGCGTTCAAGTGCAGCTTCGTTGTGCACTGTACCAACACACTGATTTATAGACTTTTAAAAACGTATAAGTTAATTGTATGTTACTGTGTAACAATGGTTTTGGATGAGAGAATACAACCTGTCCAAACACTTTGGGAGTGAACCTCTGAACTGAGATAAGCAGGTATTTTAAACTGTCCAAGTCAAAAAATAAAGTTCGTTTTGGAAATTAAAATGGCGAGGTCATTTCTGAGCAAACCAGTCATTGTACCATTGATTATCAAGAGCGGAAAGCACTGTCAACCAATTGAAATGAGGCCACGTTTGACCACCGCTTCAGGTGGTAAAATCCCTTGTTTGCATGCCCATGGCGAGGAAGAACGCCACTTATTAAATCTCGCATCAACAGAACACCTGTTCGTTTTCGCAGTACATGTTGCTTTGTTCTGGTGTGGACATTTCGTGACGTGATCAAGTTTTGGTTCAAACGGTCCCTGGTAAGGAAGCGGGAGACTTGGCAGTGGGTAATATCCACAGTCATCGTCATCATCAGCATCATCACCATCATCATCATCATCATCATCATCATCATCACCATCATCATCATCATCGACTGCATGATATCAGTGTTCAGTACCAATTCTTCGCTGACGTACAACCATGATTTATTCGAAAGTCCCATTCTGAAGAAAAGAATAAAAGTGGATGGGGAAGGGACTTAGTTCTGGCTTACTACAGTCATTCCGAGGTACCTATAGTCCAGACACTCATTCAGGAAATCTGGATAGAAACTGAAAACAGAAATGCCACTGACATCGATTGGTAGCCATATCTCGCAGCGTCTCAAAGCGAGTGCAGTGGGTATCATGCAGTCTCAATCATGGAAGGCGAGTACCACCGACAGCACCCCAACGTTTCGTAATTTCTTCCACACCCCTATGTCCAGTCAGGGATTGGCCACCTCCCTGGTTCCGCACCTGTGAGATTGCTTCAGAATGTGAACATTGAAGGCGGCCAGATAGGCTGGACGTCGAGGCTTGCAGATTGACTTCGAAATACCTGAGGAAGTCGGCGCCATGTGACCAGCAGATGATGCACGCAAAACCTATACAAGACGAACGAAATTATCAATCCTAAGTACTGAGCCTATAAGGGTAAAGTTATTAATGGGGTTGTGAGAGGAATAAAAAGTATGTGAATGAGAAAGAATGGAGGCGTCAGCGGTAGCCTGTTGTCGATTACCCACCCTGATGTATGCAGTGAAGAAGACGACCTGGCTGATGCCATCACCTGACGGCTTACGTGGCATGATATATGTATCATGCTTGTACATTAATGGGGTTGTGAGAGGAATAAAAAGTACGTGAAAGACAAAGATGGAGGCTTCAGTAATAGCCTGTTGACGCTTGCCAACCCTGATATATGCAGTGAGGAAGACGACCTGGCTGATGCCATCACGTGACGGCCTACGTGGCATGATATAGGTGTCATGGTTGTACGTGGACTGGGATACTCTCAGAGCGCCCATACCTAGGCAGCAGGACGACTAGGGTACTCAACCAAAGCCATTGGCTCAAATGCCTAACCGCAAAGCAGCGGTATTTGGCGGGAAATGCAAGTGCATTGCTATTGCTACTTAACATGTCACCACATATGCTCCAACACCAACCTGAAGGACCGGGAGATTGTGTATGTCAGACCTCTAGCCATTGAGTAACCTGGCATGAGAGACTCTGTGAGCGTCGCGGAGACACGCAGTATAACTCAGTGGGTCGCTGAGGTGCGCAAACCGTCAAGCTACAGTAAAGTCCAGTCTCTTCGTGACGGGGTACCCACATTACACACGTTTATTCGTGAAAGTATCATCCTTCGGAATGCCACACACTCTGTGTCACATTTACACTACTTTCTACTGGTGAAACACTCATGTATCGACATTGGAGCGGATTAGATGAAGTTTCAAGACCACTCAGGTTATCATCTAGTACCTTTGGTCTAGTGTGAAACGACGGTTGGGTGCTATCCGTCAATAACCCTTAATTGCAGACGAATTAGGCTTTGACGGGAAACTAAACTGAATCCATCTGAATTTCTCGTTTACCTTGGTGTGTTACGTTTGAGGGAAAGAACTGAATCTGGAATGTTTACACTGATCAACCCTTCCTCTTCGAGAAGTTGGATATCGTGAAGAAGTGAAGAAAAAAGAGATCTTCTGTCATGACTTCCGTAGCGTTATGAAGGCGATGCATCATTGCGCGTAGGGTTATGGTGGAATCTGATGTGAATTTCGCCTTTTAGGATATCCAAGTGTTGGGTTTTTGAGATCACAATCGAAGCTATCGTCAGTACGTTTCTCGCTGACTAGTCCTGTTGAAGTTCCCAGACAAGAGGATGACATTGCCGTTTGTGACCTCTAAACAGGCGTACTCTGCAAAAGCCATCCCAAAGCGATATTCACATCAAATTTCACCAGTTTTCTGTTCTGGTTGATCGAGCAGACCCGAGTTCAACTCGTTTCTTTCAATTTGTTTTCATTACCTGGATGCTATGACCAACGAACATTGTCTATCATCTAGAACACCAGGTTCTCGGCGAGTTTCGACGACTCGCTTCCATCGTTTTGTACGCACTGTTCAGTTCATTTTTGTCCGTGTTTATCAACACATTTGTGTGTGTGTGTGTGTGTGTGCGCGCGCGCGCGCGGTTCGCATGTCCGCGCATGTGCGTCAAAACACTGTGTCAACGACACGTTCACATTGGCCCCCCACCACTTATCTGTTTCACAACCCAGGAAACATGATACAACATGCGGATATGTGGTCCACTACATTGTAGGCTAATTATCCACCTAGGCATCAAATATATAAAAACACATTCGATTGTCAGGGCGCGTAAAACATGCTCTTGGGTGTGCCATGACAATGGCGCACACCAGAAAACTTCACTCCTTCCTGTGGAACAAACAGATTTCAATCTGTTCACCAGATCAGGCAACACGCCTGTGCCGTTGAACGGCAAGTGGAACAAAGCCGGTAGGACAATAGTTCATTCTCAATTAAATAAATGTCGATCATTGTGTGTGTGTGTGTGTGTGTGTGTGTGTGTGTGTAGATTGTAATCGCATCTTGACGGGAACGCGCCCCAGCTTTTTCGAGTTGGTTCGGTTCACCATTGTTGGCAGGTGTGTTTTGGGGCATCGTTGACATTTCAAGATAATAACTACGACAGCCTTCAGTTTCAGTGGTCAATTAGGCTGAAGACCTTGAAGATCAAGTGTGACAGCAGAAAATCTATTACCATCTATAGACCTATCGGTCAGTTTGTCTTCAAGACATCATCTTGGCTTCCTTAACTTGGTCTTCTACTTTCACAAGGTTGCTGAAAACCGGTTTCGCCCTTCTTGGGGCTCATCAGGTAGGCGCAGTCCCCGAGTTTCCATCAACCTTATGTTCTAATGAACCCAAACTGGACCGTTTTGCAAGTCTTCTACTACTTGCAACGTTTTGTAAGTAGTACGGCAGACACCGAGTGGGTGACAGAGAAAGTGACATTGTGCGACGGTCGATTATGATGTGTCCTTAGCTGGTAGTGAATTCGCTAGTGACAGCGAGCTCAAAAGGAAGTTTCCATACTGATTTGTTAGGTTCGTCTTCATAAAGTTACTGCGTTTGGGAGTGATGAATCTTAATCTCCAATGCAAGTCTAACCATCACTGTCTATTTGATGTGAAGTCACGTGCACTGGTACAAATGCTGATTTCGTCCTCAAAGTGAACCATATGGCATTGCGTCATTCAGACTGTTTCGAAGTATTGATTTTCTGACATTGTGGGTCATCCAAAAACGACATGGTAAATAGTAGTTCGGATAACACACCTGAATAAAAACCTGGTAGTTTACCGCACCGCATGGCAAGAATAACAAAAACAGCAAAAAATTCCATGAAGTTTGAGTGGGCTTATCCTAGCCAGAACGTTTTTAAATGCACTGACTTAAAATATATAGTATAATATAATTATAATATAATATAATACAATACAATATAATAT